AAAAAAAAAAAAAAAATATGTAAATGAATGGACGTGGTTCTGTTCCAATAAAACTTTATTTGCAAAATAAAAAAAAAATAAATTTCTACAAACTGAAAATGTCTAAAAACTTAGCTGTCACTAAGTCCACTGATCTCTATTTGGAAACTCCCAAGCGACAGATTAAGGATTCAGGACAAGGAGAATATAATTCATAGTATTGTCAGTCTGGGAGTGAGGGCATGGACTAGGCCAATTAAAAAAATGTGAGAAGGTTCGGCAAAGGTGCAAAAATGATGTTGAAAAAATGTCACCAGAGAGTCAGAGCTTTTGTAGCAGAATGAAACGGACTTAATGCTGTGGACCAGTTCATACAATGAGTTGCCAAAATCTCTGCCTGCGTTAGAAAGAGCTTCCCCAAGTCCCTGAACTCATTTTACTTCACTGCTCCTTCCTGCACTCAATACTGAGTGTTGCTCTAAGAAGCAGCTTGGCTCAAATACTCAGATTCCCATTATTTATACTAGTTTACATACATTTCAAGTACAATTCTTCTCTTTAAGGGAAAGTAGTTATGCTAGTGGTCAAATATTTATATTTTCATTCAATAGTTATTTTAGTTTTTAACCCACAGATTAATTTCCTTTGTACCTTATCAACCTTATATTACAAAGATGTATTGCACTTTGTAGTTTAAGCCTACTGTGAGCATTTTTTATTGTTTAAATGTTACTTATACAGATTTCACTAATGTAGGGCTTGCTTAAAGAGTTTCTTGAAAATATCTTTTTCTGAAATTGTAAAGTTTCAAGTTTCTTAAAAATATCTTTTTGCTGAAATTGTGTCTCTGGTGGGGCTTCCTTAAGCCAAACACAGAGTACTGGGTCAAAAAAACAAAATTTGAATTCTGAGTCCACTACTAACCAGCATTGTTTAAATATCTGAAGCATTCCAATAGAAATATAACATGAACCACATATGTAATTTAGAATTTTCTCATGGCCACGTCTTAAAAGAAAAATAAATTTTAATAGTATATTTTATTTATTCCAATATATTAAAATATTATCATTTCAACCTGTAATCAAAATAAAATCATTTTTGAGATGTATCACAATCAAGTTACTTGAAATGTCACTCAAGTCTTGTTTTACTTACTTGTTTCTCAAGGTGTAAGTGAAGGGGTTCACATAGGTAGCAGTGAGCACTGTCACACCCTTATTAGTAGCCACTGATTCCTTTGCTGAAGGTTGAAACATAGATGAAAGTACAGTTGCCATAGATTTACCTTAAATTGTAGACATTTTTGTGCCTTATTTATATGCATTCTATGTTTTTTTACTTGTTTTCACTTTTTACAAGTTTTCATAATCTCCTATCATTTTAGTTTCTCAATAGCCAGTGCATATAGTTATAGATAAAGATATAGAAACAAATACAGATGTAGATATATGGCCATTTTCCTTTCGAATTTACTTGGATTTTAAGAAGAAATGTTAGCACTTTATTTCATGTATTATCTGTTAAAATTAATCTCTTAGCCTGTGATTTATAGAGTATTCAAAATTGTAGGAGGCTACAATTTATACTTCAGCTTCTACATTAAGACACAGTCATTTGTAATAGTTTCCTATTTTTTTTACTTTAAAATATTTTTGTTGTTTGTGATATTTATATTTTATTTAATGCACTGGTCACAAATCCCTTCTAAAATGTAAGATACATGAGGGCAAGAAATTTGTAGGTGTTCTATTCTTATTTCCAATGCCTGAGATGGTGCCTGGCATCAAAAATGCCCTTGAAAGCTAGAATAGGAAAAGACAATAAGCACAATTACTCTATCCAATATAGACAATGAACTCGCTGATTTTGCTTATTTTGTTTTTGCTGGCAGTTTTGTAAAGGCTTGTTAAGAAGTGAAGTCACTCTTTTGTTTCCTAGAAATGTATTATAATTCCTTTCAAAGGGAGCTTCATGAAACAGCTTACTTACCAAGAAAGGAATGACTTAAAAACTTAAAGATACCTACTTAGGAACCAATGATCTTTTTATGAAAACGTCATTCGGCTACATTAGCAAATTCTTCTTAAAGAACAATGCGGTTCTTCAAAATCACTAACTATTAGGGAAATGCAAATCAAAACTACAATGAGATATCACCTCACGCCTGTCAGAATGGCTATAAT